ACGGTGAAAATGGCTACCAAATGCTATTATTGTGTGAAAATTCTCGATTTTATTTTTTACATTTTTAACTTTATAATGCTATGACATATTGAAAAGTGTATGGATCAATATAATTTTTTTATGGGAAATACTATTTTTTAATAATCCCTTTTTCATTCGACATACTTTATCTTAATCAGGATATTAATAAGGAACTGGCAGTTTATGAAGCTTTTGGAATAATCCACCAATTTTTTTAAATTAAACAGTATCTAAAGATTTGCATCGAAGCGTTTTTCTTTGATAGTGATTTTAATCACTGTCAGATATCATTATACTTGATCCATCTATACCACGTCACCACTGTGCTGCGACCCCCCTGTGCTGGGTTTTTTTTTTTTTAACTATATTCGTTTTAAACTTTTTAAAGAAAAGATCATATTAAATATTCACAATGATTTAAATAATTAAACACATAAACGACGTTTCATGGTCAACTTGTATATTGAATAATTAATAAAATTAATTAATAACATAAGGAAAATTATAATTTAATGAACACAACTTGCGAGATTTAAGTAAGCAACTTATTTAGTCATATTGAAGTAATTTTACGTAATGTTTTCGCCAACAAAGTCGCTATGCAAAAAATGTAAAAGTCAATAAAAACCCCTTACAATATAGTTATCAAGGTAGACTCTTAGTTGTCATACTTCGTTATAATAAGAAATGGGCCTTAATATAGAAGTACTACTACTAAAATTTCATTTATTTTAAAGACAAGTTGGTAAGGAGCTGTAAATCCCACTATATCCAGTCATTCTTTACTATCGCAACGAACTCAGGTGCATCATTTGGGGTGGGTCAGGATGTACAACAGCACCATCTTACTTTAATAACAGTCCCAATTGGCCTGCATATATAATGCACCAATTTTTTATACATTATATCAAATTTCAAAAACATTGTATTATCATGGTTCAATAAACAAATATTCTGGTAACAATTAATTGAGTAAACAATAAATATCATACTGAACTATTAATATTAGTACCGGACGCAAGATGTTGATATTGATATTGATGTTCGTAACAGTTTTAGCTTCGATGCCAATCTAAGAAGGTATTAATTTTACCATGATGTATTTTTTTTTTTTTTTTATGTGTCTGTCATTACTTTTTCTTAGCTCTCGCTGGACCGATTTTTCTCAACAATACGTCAAAAGATCACTAATCGTATTTAGTTGAAGACATTACCTTCAAAAATTGAAAAAATTTNAGATCACAAATCGTATTTAGTTGAAGACATTACCTTCAAAAATTGAAAAAATTTCACTCGTTTCCCGTAAATGAGGGAAATCTTAAAAAAAAATTCGAATTTAAAAATCGTTAATTTTCACAATTTTTTCAATTTTTTTACTTAAAACTACTATAATTTTTTCAGAAATGATTTTTCTCAACGATATGTAAAAAGATCGCAAATCGTATCTAGTTGAAGACATACCCCAATAATTAAAAAAAAATTCCATTAATCAAAGCCCTCGTTCTCTATAATTGGTGGAAATCCCCAAAAAATTACGATTTTTAAAATCGGTAAATTTTTTTCACTTTTTTTCCTAAAAATTGCCATAACTTATTGAAAAATTAACAAATCAAAATAATTATTTTTAGCTTCGATGCGAAGCGGAGAAGGTATTAATTTTACTATGATGTGTTTTTTTTTTTTTTTTTTTTTTTTTTTTTTTTTTTTTTTT